CAATCTTTATGTCATCAACAAGTAGAGAGAGTTAGTCACTTTCGATGGGCATGCCTATGTCATTGATGCAGAGGAGAAAAACCAAAGGATCAGGTACCGTTCCTGGGATGACGTCACAGGTAACTGCGAGGTGAACAGTGGTGGCCACCCAAAGTGGACATTTGGAACCGATTGCTAACGTAGAAGGAATGCCAACTTGAAAGCTGGTTCCGGATTCCCAAGGATTCAATCTTCGTCAGCAACCGATTGTGTGGTCCACTTTCAAATGCTTTTTCTATGTCCAAAAACGAAATTATCATTTGCGTAACCGGACTTTATGTATTCCGAGATGTAGTTAAGGTCGTGTAACTGACAGGTCGTGCTGCAGCCTCTATCAGGGAAACTATGATGAGATGTGTTAAACAGCTTCAGAGAATTAAAGAATTCCACCAAAGTTTAAATTTTTTGTGGCCCGTAATTTTCGGTATGTTATCTTTTTGGTATTGCAACACATCAGCTGAGGTGTGACTCAAAGCTGTGTGCTTGGGTTGCGACTCGCAACCTTTATTGACACCTCGGCTCACTTTGAAGTAAACCTCGGTCACTCCGATCTCGAGGACCGTAACCTGAATTGGATATATTTGGGTGTTGCTCTTCCGAACCCTCGCACGCCAGGATTGGGAAGAGCTGAGGTGTGTTTTTCACTCTTAACTAACCTGTATTGTTGTTGTTGATGATGATGATGATGATCTTCACTAATCTTTCAAACAGAGTGGCGCTGGTGGAAATATGATGAATCAGTCGGTTCTTAGCAACCTTTTGTTTGGGACCACTTTTATGGCTCATTTTCTTGTGGAGGCTCTTTTACCTCCGGAGATTTTGACAGAACCCATTTGGACCCCCGCGGCTGACATTTACATTTCGTCGTATCGAAACTCATTGAGACAGCCATCACAGGTCCGGAGAGCGCTGGACAACCGTTTCATCCTTTCTGGTAATACAACCCCCTTTTTGCGGCACAGGAGCCGTCTGTTAACTCTCCGGAACAATTTCCTCCCGTTACTCGGGACTCAACCTGCTTGTCTCTGTTTCATGCTTTCTTCTTTTGTATTGCGGCACAAAACCTTAGGTGTTTTCTACCTGCAGCTAACGTGTATAATTACTCATCCTTTCTGGAATCCTCGTTAGTGTCCTTCCACCTGTCCGCTGCGTCGTGGTAGAACCGGCAGTTCTACCTCCTTGTAACTACACTGTTTTCAACCGATCTCCAATCTGCTCTGACAGCTGGACGTTTGTCGCCACTCAAGTGTCTCCCCTGTTTCATTCCGCCCGTCTTATCTGCGCTGCACATTGTTGGCACACCTTCTGAGACTTAGAATCGCTTACATCGGTTGACTCCTGTTTTATGTTCTACCTGCACAACACTGTTTTGACCCCCTAACATGTAAAAATACCGCCTTTTTTGTCTTGTGTCACGCATCCCACTGGTACTACTGTCATATACGCGCATTATCTTTTTTGTCATCTGGCATTAAATGTCGCGGTCTCTGTGGGATATTTGTTCCATCCTATACTTAACGAGCACCTAGTTTCAAAATCTATTCCAATGTCACTTGCCATTTGTCGACGCTTAGAACATTGTCCACAAATTTGCAACAGTGAAGTTTGTGTGCGGTCCATTGAGGCTTGACGACGCCCATTCGCGACTACGTGTGGTATCGATTAGATCGTCATCACTCTACATGGGTCTAACTTGTTTCATTTAGATTAAAAATTGTTTTTGACGAACCAAAGGTATGTGGTTGTTGACATTGTGCAATGCCTCGTGAATGTCAAATGTCCCGTGTTAATGACATACCAAGATTAGATAGGTACCTGGACTATTGATTCACCACGATGTTTGAACGCAAGGTTTAGTGTTGTCACATTACTATGCATGTTCTTCCGAGAGGAATAGACCAGGACACTTTGTAATGTTTCAATCGAATTCACTTTCAGGGTTCACAATTAAAAGAGAGTTGGAATAGATCCGAATGAATAATCATTCATTCAATATCCGTCAACATTCCTCGCTGGGCGGAGATCACCTGAATGTATGTATGTAGTCTATTTCGGCTCCCTGATCGTTTTACCTCTCATCTTGTTACGCAACCTTCCCATCCTACTCTCTTGGATGCCCTAGTCATCCAGTTGTATGTGAGCTGTGACCAATCTGTGGTATAAGGGTTTCCGTTGTTCGAAATATCCTAACGGCATGCCGTTTGACTCCAAGCTTTAAGCTATCAGTCCAGAAGATGTACTCTGTTTTTACTCGACGATGGTTTCACGTACCATGAGCCCGGGAGTTTCAATTATCTGTATGCACAGTTAGATAATGGTGGGCATCGAAGCGTACAGCCCAATTATACGCAAAGAATTTGCTCTACTGAATGCCATCGCGAACTGCAGGATATATTCACGTGTGATTTGGTCTACCACGGTGTAAGGTTAAGCGTTTTGCTCATGTCCAGTGTTTTACTAGCACTAGACCTCTTGGGAATCAATGGTGACTAAATAGCGTGGAATAGTGAAGCATGCTGGTGATGCAAGACGGATCGAAACTTTGAAAGTGGAAAGTGGCGGACGAGATTATCTACGATATACAATCGAACCCGCTTTATTGCCCACTCGGGTTATAGCTCATCCCGCTTTGTTGCTCAGTTTTTCAAAATACAAAATTTCAGAGGATCATGGCAGAAAAAGGCAACACAGGGGAGTTAGAGAAACAGCTGATCGGCTTCCTCAGTCGAATGATGCAAGCCACACTCATCACAAAGAACGAATTCGTAAACCTGAGGCCTTCAGGTGGACACCTACCGAGATTATATGGCCTGTCTAAAATTCACAAGGAAGGCGCCCCAATGCGCCCAATCTTGGACATGGTGGGTTCTCGTCAGCATTTATTGGCCCAATGGGTGGTGGCAAAGCTGCAGCCGTTACGGAATTTGGTTTGCACTTACTGCGTGAGATACACGTTCGAATTCGTTGAGAGGATATCTGAAATCAACCTTGTTAACGAAAGGATGATATCATTCGATGCCCAGTCGCTGTTCATAAACATTCCATTGCTCGAAACCGTGGATTATGCATGCTAGCTTGCTCGGCAACTGCCCATATACGCAAATTTTCCGGTGAATTTTCTAAAGGAGGTGATACTTCGTTGCAAGTTAAAGGTTCAGTTCACCTTCATTGGTGAAATGTACCGTCAGATTGACGGAGTGGCCATGGGATCTCCTTTGGGGCCGTTGCTAGCTGATATTTTCATGGCGCAATTGGAACATGGCCCACTTGCAACGCACATCCGTGAAACCGAAATGTACGTACGGTATGTTGACGACACCTTCGTATTTTGCAAATCCGAAAAGCATGCGGAACAATTGCTGAAAGCTTTCAATGACGCACACTAGAATCTCCACTTCACTTGCGAACACGAACTCGGAAACCGGTTACCTTTTTTGGATGTAGAGGTTATCCGTAACTCGGACGGATCAGGCAGCAAAAAGGTACACAGAAAGCACACGTGGACTGGGCAGTACACTAACTTCCACAGCGCAGTACCTCTACGGCATAAGCGGAATTTAATCAGATTTCTCGCCTTCAGGGCGCGTTGTATTTGTATACCGGATACCGTCAGCGAAGAATTGCAGAGAATCAGCGACGCCCTCATGGAAAATGGCTGTCCCGATAAATTTATCATGAAGTATTTGCAGGAACACAGTCGAAAGCCACCTAGTAGCATTGCTCCTAAGAAAGAGCTTTTCATACATATACCCTTTAGGGGCGATTCTGTAGCTGATATGTTATCCAGACGCCTGAAAGACGCTGTCGTGAAAACTTATTTCGCGGCCCGCCTGAGAATCGTTTTTCACAATAAGTCGTTGCTTGCAAAACCCTTGATGGATAGACTGCCGTCGTTGACCTGTTCACTGATCGTTTATCAGTACTCGTGCTCTTGTGGTGCACGATACGTGGATCGCGCGACAAGACGCCTATCTCAGAGGATTCGTGAACACATCCCGCACCTCCTTGAATGTGGCCGCCGTACAGCTTCAGAGAATGACTTCAAAGTCATTTACTCATTACCTGAACACTTCTCCCAAGGATTCCGCAAACAGCTCTTATCCATCACCGAGGCTATCTAAATTCACCATATAAAGCCGGAATTATGTGTGCAAAAACGATTCATACGGCCGATACTACTATCTTGGCCAATGGACACTGTTACTTAGTTATTTAGTTGTTATCTTACCTAATTAATCACTTCGGACTACTGAGTATTGTATGCCATTTTTATTTAGTTCACTTGGCACACCATCTTTATCCCTGTCTCAAGTTATCGATTTGGATCATTCAAACAGTCCAGAAATAAATCCCAGAACGAGTTGACGCTTACCCCACAGTATCAGTGTTTTGGAAAAATTTGGGTCCGATGAGAGTTTACCGAAAAGAATTCTTCACCCTCAACTGATTTCTGATATTGATTCAAAATACAAAGTCTTTCCTCTTAAATATGCTAAATTTTCACCATCTAATTGCCCATTGCCGGAGTTGTTCCACCGCTTAATTGCCCAGCTACGTGGGCTAAGCTAAATATACAAACTGATGTGCACAAGCCCTTAGCCCTATCAAAACCACGAGAACTGAGCAAGTTGAGCAATCTTTCCGCTCCATGTTTGTCAGTACTCTATTGGTTACCCACAAGTATGACCAGTAACAGAAAGGAGTTGTCCTTGACAGAAAAGTTGGACGTTTTGCACCAACTTAAAATTTATCCACCAGAAACCTCGCAGAACAAGTTGACGCTTGCTTTACACATTTCTCCTCGTATCATGGCCAGGTTGATTGCCAGCGAAATGGAACTCCGCAGCATCTGTCACGTGGAACTGCAAGCTCTCAGAAAACGAAGCGATGTGGAAGAGATGAAGAAGTTGATCCTGCATTGGAAGACTGGATGGTATCGGTTCCTGAGCACAGCCAAACAGTTACAGACCCGCTGTAGAAAAAAAGGCAGAAGAATTCGGAGAAATACTTGGAAAAATTTTTGCCACCACAGAAGTAGGGTTACAAAATAAAACAGTAGAAATCAACTTGTGTATAAACGTGAGCATGTCGAAAAGAGCTCCGCGGACAGAACCGTCTGTGGAAATTGGCTAAACGATCGACTGCTTGAATTTTTAAATGTGTTTGATGATGACAACGTGTATACAATGCAGGCGAACCGGGTCTTTTTTACCGAGCAACTCCGGAGGGCTGTTTGTGTTTCTCTGCTGACAAGCTCAGCGAAAGAAAAGAAATTATGGACCAGATTCTGTATCACATCGAAAACAACATGTCATCTGGTTCATCATCGGCGGTGGATGTTAGTGCCAAGATTTCTATGCTCGATGCAATTCAGTTTGTTTCAAAATGTTGGAGACAGGTTACCGGTGCAGCATTAAAAGTTTACTTTCGGCATACTGGCTTCAGCCGACTGGAATCTGATGCACTTTCTGTTAACGCCCTCATCGCTCAGGACGAGATCAGCGCTAGCACAATCCCAGTTATCAATGCAGAAGAGTTCGTCGCCATTGTCAAAGATGTGGAATGTACCTCAGAGTTGACAACTGTTGAAGATGAAATCGCCAGTAAAATTTTAGAGAATTGACTAGAACAGACAGAAGGCAGGATAACGTGTCGGATGCCTCCGTAAGTAACAGCAATCTGCGTGTGCCGTATTCAAGAGCAAAGAACTATATGACTGGTCTGTACAGCAACCGACTTTCGCATGGGCTAGGCAACGATTTCTTGTCCAAATTAAACTTCCTCGGTGCAATAGTGACTGGAGTAGCAACTCAAAATAATATACAACTGAGGTCGGTTTGTTTTCTCGACAAAAATCTACAGTAACGCCAGTTTTTATATTTATCTAGGTAGGATGCTTTGTAGTAATTTTTAAATTATAAGTTATGCTCTTCCGAATAAACATTTTTTGTTTTAAGTACTATTTTCTACTTCTTAGCACGTTACAAATCGAATGATATACTGTACAACCATCCATTGCTTGTTTCCCAGAAGATGGAAATATCGCTTTATTGCCCACTTTTGAACTATCTCGATGATGGGCAATAAAGCGGGTTCGACTGTACTGCTTTCTTTCATTATGCTGGCTCACATGGTCCATCAACGCTCTGGTCAAAGTGCTGTGGATGAGAGCTGTAGTGTAGGAGCAAAATCGGGATTTATTCGACAGATACGCCAATGCGCACTCCTTTTTGTCCGAATCGTTTGTCTTATACCAGTTCACCTGCACCTGTGGTGCTAGGTATCTTGGACATACGACTAGGTGTTTGTCCAAAAGGATCGCTGAGCATTGTCCTGCGTCACTACCAAAAGGCCCTGTAAAATCCATCAACAGTTCCGTATTACAACACTTGGTCGACACTGGACACCAAGTCTAGATAAACCAGTCGTTTCGAGTCGTTTATACTATCCCTAAACGATACCCGAAACAGCTTAAGAAACATTTATTGAGCATTTCTGAAGCCATTGCTATCAAAGTTCTAAAACCAGAGCTGTGCAAACAGCGCAAACTGCTACGGGCTCTGAAATTGCCTTGGTCTTGAACTTGACCTTCCTTGATCACCTGCTTCCTAATGCGACAACCCGACTGATCAAATCATTGATTTAGTTTTCATATTGCCCAGTTAATGAGTTGATTGCTCTCTGTACAGGCCTCTACGGGCTTTACTTCATAATTGTACACGCTTGATGAGAATTATCGAAAAGAATAATCTTCGCGCATTTGCTTGCTTCTGACTCAAATGGGGATTATATAGAGAGGGCCGAACACAGACAATGATGTGACCCTTCCTTATAGCTTCTTATCTAGCTCTGGCGACTGACATCACGGGGGTGTGTGCACCATGTACTCTAAGTGACTCCAGCTGCAGGCCCAGATAACCTGCGCCTTTGTGTAATTTGCACTCGATTTGATTGCCTTCTTTCTGTTTGCCCCGCATTCTTGATGGCCGGTTGTTTCCAATCCCGTTATTTGGAGAATATAATTGACTTGTCGCATGGGGGTAGGAAATACGCGAGGGAATTTTTCGAAAGCATGGCACTCCACAGTGGATCGCTAGCTTGATCGGTTTAACCCGACAGAACATCGCACTAGACAACCACATCTGGCGACAGACTTGATCACGTGAGCAGACAGACAAAGGTCACGAAGCCTAAATCGTAGAGGTCGAGTTCAAACGTCATCCCCCCATCGAACAAGCAAAACGTGGATCGAAGTCCCAACCGACAGGATCGACAATGTAAACGGCCGATCACAGTAAGACAATAAAAGCGCACCTGCACTATACTCGTCCTACTCTGGGGCTTCCCTACGACATGCTAAAACACGTACCCATCGACGCACTAGTGATGTGTGCAACGAAGTTGTCAAGCTCAGCAGACAGTTCGACCGCCATCTGAATATAACCTGAGCTGCCGTTTTTCGTTTCTATATCGTCACACATATGAGGGTGATTAAAATTAGCTATTGAAAATATCCGTTACTTGGAGTCTAGATGTGGATTTTACTGGGTTCACATCGATGGACATCGACTTTCTGAAACAAACAATGGCCGTCCTACTGGAGAAACACGCATCTTCCGATACATGCAGCAAAATCGGTACCAGACAAATGATGGTTACTGGAATTCTGTCCAACCACACACCATTGGTATCGTTGATCTCGGGATTGGTAACCGAGGCAGTGACGCAGGCACTGGAACGGATAACAATTTCAACCACGAAACAAAAAGTTTGGATACGCTACATAGACAACATTTTCGTCAAACTCACGCGTCCCAGATTAGAGGAGACTTACAAGCTAATCAACGGTGTGTTCGATTTCATCCAATTCACCAGGGACTGATGCTGGTGCAAGACCATTGGAAATGACATCCTATCAAAAGTACGCATATTAACCGTATTCTCAACTACGGCAGCAGTCATCCGACGTTCTACAAAAGCAGCTGCATTCGAACTCTTTTCAAACGAGCAAACCATAGCTGAGGCAGGCGAAAGAAGGAGATAGTTCTTCTTGGTTCCTACGCAGTGGCTATGCTAACACTGCTGGATATACTGACGCGTAACGCCGCACGCTTCGGCATGTGCTTTGCACCTTCAAATTGCTGCTGCAGGACTGGACCGACACACCTCCGGTTCTGTCTATCACCGAACAGCCACTGGAAGTGATTGATCGGTTCACTTACCTTGGTAGCTGTGTCGCCTCTGGTGATCACACCACTGAGTAAATTGCTTTGCGTATCAGCTAGGCCCGTGTGGCTTTCCAGAGGCTCAGTCATCTATTGAGACGAAGGGATATCAGCTTGTTAGTGAAATTGTGTATAATGCTGCGATAAGTCCTGTGTTACTGTTTGGATTAGTGACCTGGTCATTTCACAATGAAGACATTAAACCATTGGCTATTTTTGACCACTGGTGCTTCCGGAGTATTGCTCACGTTGGGTGGAAACATCGGGTGAGCAATCCTGAGGTCCGCCAGTTGGTGCTTCTCTCCGATGTATGATAAACCTTAATCGCTTGTGTTGGCTAGACTATGTCCTCCGTATGCTCGTTGATCGGCGTCCTCGGCGTGCATTATACGCCGTGGCTGCGCTAAGTTGGATGAAACCGCGAGGTGGCCAGTCCATGACGTGGCATAGTGGCATGAAGAAATTGACTGAGATTTGGTCAGGCTAGGGGGGGCTCGAGATTGTCCACACCAATGGTTAGAGACAGTAACTGACCTGACGCAGTCACATACTCAGTGGCGTTCCTGTATTCGGTTTCCTGTATTGCCGTTGTTATTTCTATTTATTCTTGCGATGTGAGTCGTGGCAACTGGATCCACCGCACTTCGGTGCTCGGATCCTATTTGATCCACGGAACTGAACTGAACTCCAACCTGCTGTAACGGAACTTGTACTCAAAAGGCTTTGTAACACACTTCAGCAAACGCAACATTAGCAATGCGAGTCACTTTGCTTTGTATCAACAGAATTTCTATACTGGTACTGATACTTTTATTGCCTTTTGGAGTCAAACTTGTCCACTAACCAGTGGAGACAATTCGAAGTACTCCAATGTAAAGATAAACTTAGCAACGAGAAAACCACTAATATGATATAGAAACTCGGCAGGCGAATCTGACAGTTTCTGCCTGGGACTTACAGGAAAAAGATTGGCACGAGGCCACGTAAACGCTCTCTAGCCATTCATCGCCCCGATCAGAACTCTCTGATGTCCGTGCATATTTATGCTGAAAATCACCAATTCGATCTGGGGCGCACCTAAATCCTCACAGGAGCGAAAATCCGACAAGCGCGTGAGGTCATTGGGGCCTGGCGTTCAAAGCAGAACTCGATCAATAAGCACGTGGTTCTCGTGGTCTCTTAAATGGCTTTGCGAACTAGGCCTTTGAAGCTGCGCTGATGATGTTGCCTTGTCCGGCAATGAAATATCTGCAAGCTAATCATTCAGCTCGATACATAATGCAAAACTCACAAGACGAGACTTGTTGTGCACTCTGTCTGGCTCCCAACTACCAATGCTAGTTGTTCAGTCTAGACTTGTGTGCTAATCTTGTCCTGATCTCAACTGATCCACTGTTCATTCGGTCTATCCCCATCATCGTCAGCCAGACAATGCAATGCATCATGATGTAATGTGTGAACGACTTAGGTATGTCAAACTCTTAGCTATCCGCACAACTGGGATGAAATCTGCAGGCACTGTTGCTGTCACACTTGTTGATGACGTCTAACAGATTGTTGTGTAGCCGTTGATGACGTCTAACATATTGTTGTGCAGCGAACCGCAAACAACAGTCGTGCGTCTTGAGTCTACGTGTCTGTGTCCCCCTCCTTGCCAGTGTGTTCATCCGGGGCTTTGATTATCCTCAGCGTCGACAAACTCGAATTTCTGAATGTGCGCTCTTTCATGCCATTCTTGCGTATTGATGTCGCTGGGCGGCATATTAGCCACTGTTTCGAGTGGGAACTGCTTCTTTTTCAAGCTACTCTCCCTCACTGTACCACCCTTCGTACAACTGGTGGGTGACCTCTGTTCCTACATTATACAAATGCGTTCGGGCGTCTTGATAGATCGTTACTACTAAACCATTTACTCGAAAATGGCGTTCCTCAATTTATGTGTGATGTAATCCGTGACTGTTTTACAAATCGCGCACACTTCACACAGTGTGGTTTGATGGAAGGTCTTCCCCAATCCCAGTTACTTGCGGCGTTTGCAGTGAGCCATTTTCTCCTCCTTTCTGTTTTCCCTGTACGTTAACTGTCTGCCCATACTATCCAGTTTCATCCGACGTGAAATCGCTAACCAGTCCGCCCTTGAGTGTTATTAACCCAGTAATTGAGGAATCTCCGGAACTCCAACGATGATTAGACGATTTTTTGACTTGGTCAAGCTATCGGTCCCTCTCCCTTTACCCTCCTAACTGTTGTGATATCATATTCTCTTTTCTTCGCCTTGATAGACTGTTATTTTTTATACGACTCTTCTCCATTTGGTCGTGAGTTACCAAAACATCCCTCGTTTACCCACTGTAGAGTATCTTGGTGTTTTCTTTTCTTACAATTTATCCTGGTCGACACATATTGTTGAAACTTTTCCAAAAGTCAGAAGACTAACCTTTTATGCTCTTAGGCTCAGAATGCTCTCCGTAAGCTCCGTTCTAGTCCTAAGGTTTGTCAATTCATGTCATACTGCTCCTCTGTCACTTTCTCCGAGCTTCTTGCGTGCACTACAATTTATTTGCCGGTGCTCTGCATTTCCTGTCTAGACCTAAGTAACCTCATGATATGGCGGCGTCCGTATCCGGAATTGCCTATCACTGTGACGTCCATGGGGACAGTCACAGGACGCCTGCGCCTACAAAGGGAACCATGGGTGGATTGCGCCGCACCACCCACACACCCCATATCCGGTGTAAATCCGAAGGAATAAGACCGGGAGGCATGTGAATGGGAGCCACGTTTCATCAACGGAGCCGGCCCACACGGAAGCATTCCGGTCTAATTGGGAAATCATACACACCAGACGTACACGAGGCGGTGGCTGGACTGTAGCCCGTTCCACACAGGATGGAACCACTCTTTGAGCCTAGCACCGTCACGAGGACGGTGCACCCCGTCCCCACTAGCAACGACCAACTGTCTCCTGGAGCCAGTATGGAAGAGGTAGTGGGTAATAGACAGGTAGGCACCTTGTCAACATTCACATCAGGCGCATCCACACCGGGGAGCTCAAACAACATCTACTTCTGCAATGCAAGATTAATCAGCACGCAAGCAAACGTACCACATACGCCGCCTTATTGGCCTGGATTAGTAAACCGAATGGGAGCGTACGTATCATGCTTCTATTCCGCGTGCAATAGTACCTTCTCCTGCACCTGAGCAACCGCCCTTATGATCAGCGCCTTGGGTTTGCAACACCTGAAATCAACATGAGTTTGTCATAAACTCACCTTCTTCATGTTCTGGTAATGTTATTTCCGGTTTGCTCAAGTGCCGTTTCCCTGCACTAAGTTAGTCGTACAAAAGCGGTACAAGTATCCTCGTCCAATTTATTCGGTATACATATATACATAGATTGGCGTCATCCGTGTCCAATAGCAGTTCGAATACAACCTATGCACATGCGTTTATCCAAACTTGAATGCTAGCTGTCACAAACTGGATAGAGACACATTAGACATCATCATCAATGGTACGACAAACGTGTACTTGGGTTTCATTTGGAGGTAACCTCATAGTATCCTGCCTACGCAATACTATGAACCATTCGTCAAACAATTTCCTCATCCTCTGGCCGACGCAGAGGATAATCAAAGACGCCCTATATGCTGCCCCGAGCAGTTTGGATAGGGGTTTAGATGCTACTGCTCAAGACTTCACGTCTTACGCTTTTTCACCCTTATGGTCCCGTTCCAGCTTTACTTTTATCCCCCCTGTTTTCCACCTCCCCAATACTTGGCCCTCCCCCACCTTGCTTCATTTCTTGGCCCTCACCCAACATACTTTCCTAGACGTTTATCTTTTAGTTTCAACTCACATGCAAACGCTGAGAGTCACTCCCGTCCTGTCGACAAGCCCATGTCTAATCAAGCGGTCCATCCCAGTTCATCTGCTTCCATTTGGAGCCCTCGATCCTCCTTCAGATTGGCATGCCTCAATGTACGCACATTGCTACAGATCGGTCAACAGGCAGCACTTGTCCTATTATTAGAGATGCTCTCGATCGATATCTGCTGCTTATCGGAGACTCGCCTGCAAGACGAGCTCAGTGCTCACTTTGCGATCCCCTTCAGGTGACACCGGCAGTATTTTATCATTGCGCCTATCCGGTGACGATGCAGGTGCGAGCACCGGTCAAGCCCGTGTTGCCACTGCCCTGGGTCTTCGGTCTGAAGATGCTGTGGTTGATTGGATCCTAATCAGTCCGCTTGGCTGGCTCGTTTAAAGCTTCGAAGTCGCGCGGAACTAGTAGGCGTCTATTCATCATCGCTGCCTATGCATCCACAAACTGTAGCGATGATTCGGTAAAAAGTGACTTCTATCGCCAACTGACCGAGCTCCTTCGCCACGGAAGGGACACGGACACTGTTGTGCTGGCGGGGGATCTGAACGCACAATTTAGAAAGTTGTTCACTGATGAACTGCATCTGGGTGGTCAGCACTTTGTAGGCTCCCGTAATGATAACGGTGAGCGCTTATTTCATTTGTGTGAAGTTGCTCGCTTATTTCTTGCGAGCACTAATTTCCGACACAGAACCGCCGGAGGGTGACATGGCGCCCACCAGCCTTGGACGCAAATCGATCACCTTGCGATCAGTTGCCGCTAGAGACGCTGCGTCCAGAACTGTCGCTGGATTTGGAGCACATATGTGGCTACCGACCATACACTCGTAAGTGCTGACCTGCGGATGCGTTTTAGCGGACGCCCATGACGACACTGCGAGCGCATTGACACCAGAAAACTGACGAAGCCAGCTGTTCTGAAAGCATATCAGAGTGCGCTGACATGCGAGTTGAGTAAGCGCTCACTGGATACAATTGAATCTTTCTGTCTCATGTTTACCAGACCTTACTAGCAGCACGCAAACCCTTCTGTGTTAAGTCTAATCGCCAACCTGGACATTGGGTCTCTTCGCATTCTTTGGAACTTATCGATGTTCGCTGACACCTTCCGGCCTCAAGCGAATGTAATGCGACTCGCATAGACCTCCGGGCAAAACTCCGTGCTAGCCTGAAGAGAGACCGCAAATCCTGTTGGTCTCATCGTGCGTCACAGATGGAAGTAGCGGACTCCCTTGGTACCCATCATAACTTATTCCATCTGATACGGGAAACGGGCAGCAGGAGACCTGGTGTTAGTGAAACAGTATGACGAGAGTGGACAGCCTATCGTCAATTTGTTAAAACGTTTGGAACGTTGGACTGAGCGTTTTGAAAAGCAATTTGATCGGTCGGAATTGTCAGGTTTCTCGCCGGCCACCGATTGTTTTGCTCCGTGGGCTATCTCTTTGGATCCACCCTCTCGCTCAGAAGTCAAACGTGGGACCGGACTGTTGGAGTTGAATAAGGCCGCGGGACCTGATGATCTTCATCCAGCCCTCTTAAAATTCGGGGGCTCTGCTCCTGTTGATGATTTACACGAGTTCCTGGGGGAGTAGGAATCTGTCCCAACCGACTGGTGCCGCTCCGTTATTGTTCCCATCTTCAAACGGGGTTCGCGTTCGGATTGCGGCAACCAATCGCTTTCTAATTACTTGCCTCTAATCCTTCACAGACTGACTGGCGCTCGTGAAAGCTAGATTCGTGAGGTGCAAGCCGGGTTTCGTCTGGGTCCTGGCTGCATCGAGCACATCTTAACTTTGCGACAATTGTTAGAACGTTGTCACACATATTGGCGGTCTACCGTTATCGTGTTCCTCGACATCAAATGTGCCTTCGATTCGGTTGATCGATGTGCCCTTTGGAACTGTCTACTCAGGAAAGGTGTACCTGAGAGAAATGTAAATATTATCCGAGCATTATACGCGCGTAGCTCGGGCATAGTGAGGGCTTACGTCAAGCTGTCGTCACCCTTCAATATCTCCAGTGGTGTGCGAAAAAGATGCCCGTTGTCACCTTTCCTCTTCAACTTCGCTATTGACAAAGCCATGGAGATTGCATTTACTGGAAACGATTTAGGTGTGGATCTGCTCCCAGGAGAATGATTTCTTGACCTAGAGTATACAGACGACATTGCCCTCATCTGTGACAGCTCCCAGACATGCCAAGCAGCACTGGACAGATTAGCACTGGCTGTCAGCCGCTTCGGGCTTTTCTTTCCACCCCCGAAGTGCATAGCTTTCCTCCAACATTGGCCTGGACAACCTCCTGCGCTAACCGTTGGTGTGGATCAGCTAGAAGTCGTTAAAAATTGGACTACCTGGGAACTTGTATCAACGCCTTTGGGATTGAAGATGAGAGCGCGAACCGTACAGCAAAAGCTCGAGGTGCTTTGGCTATTCTTCACCACCTATGGCGGCGGCGCGACATCGCTTTCGCCCTGGTGGGTGGAGTGTACAATGCTGCGGTATGTTCGACCTTACTGTACGGTTGCGAAACTCTTAAAATCAGCGGACATAAAGAGGCTAGTTACGTTCGACCATCTGTGCCTTCGAAGTTTGGCTCACGTCTGGCGGGAACACCGCGTTAGCACCGAGGGTGTTCCACGCCTTGTTTGCGACTCAGGAGAAGGAACTGAACCGCTAAGCACCGTCGTTTCACGCACAAGGCTCCGATGGCTGGGCCACGTGTTACGCATCCCAGCTCACCGGCTCCAGCGATGTTCGTTGTTTGCTCACCGAGAGTATGGATGGAAGAAGTGGAGAAGTGGCCAAGCGATGACTTGGTCGATAGGAATGAAGGCCCACACTTCAGAGCTGGCCTAGGTTGGAGCGTCACAGCTCCCTGGTTGGGATCCGAAAGATGATGGGCACGTTTGATTACATACGCTTTCTGACATGGCTAGGAGCCTACCTTAGTGGAGTTTATGCTGTGAGTTTCTTGTCCATCCCCATCCCTGTTTGCCCTTTCCCCTCTCCAACCACGTTCTCCGTTCGTAGCATAATGTAATTTTGCATAGTAAATTATCTGTTGCCTAGTAACAGAACGATGCCCATCCGTTGCTGCCAGCTCAGCTGGCATGCAACTGTTGCGTTTGTTGTCTTTTTTATGTATTGCGGCACAGTGGCTGAGGTGTTTTGCACCTCTAGCTAGCGTATATAATGAGGAATGATGATGATGATGCTCTGAATTAAGCAAACGATCTTCTGTTGAGTTCATTATCAGCAAACATTTTAACCTATGCTTCAACTGTTCATACAGGATTCTAAATGGCTCCTCACACACCCCTTCACATTGCCCTAACCAGCACAGCATTTATTTCTTCCACGCGATCGTACCTCGTTATATGGCAACTCTATCTCGCCCCATCTGTCTCGATTGTTAGTCGACCCAATCGCATCCATCGCGAGTACCTTTGCTTATTGAAAAATGAACTCATTTTGATTACCTCGTCATGTTGTATTTTCCCCTCACTGATTTATTAAGCTTATCTTTACTTGAAAAGCACGGTAGGAAGACGAAAACTGGTAGATGCATGCATTTCGTATTGTCTCCTCAGTATCAATAACAATAACCGGTATGCAACTATATACTTAAATATGCGTGTGACCCAATAAGCATGAGGTGAAAAATGCATGACAGAAGTTCCACCCGACCGGATGAAGCCGGCCCTGTGTGTTCAAAAGCAATTATTTTTCTGCTTAAGACTGCCGTGGACATAGGGGTGGAACTTCCGTCATTCATTTTTCACCTCATGCTTATTCGGTCAAACCTGTCACAACGAGACTGGACCTTAACGTGGTGCGACGGTTTGCGTACCTCATTGACCCATTGAGCTATACTGGGTGATGTCTCCGAGCATCTTGAGAGCTACTCCTACCAGGTTGGTCAATGGTGAGAGGTCAGACAAACTCAGTCTCCTGGTCCTCCAGGTTGGGGGGTTTGAAATGGGATGGCGTCCATTTCTGTAAAACTAAATAAGTGCCACCCCGCTGCCTTGCGGACAGGCTTTTGAGTCAAAGGCTTTGGATGAGGAGCCTAATCGTCCTCCTGTCTAGGTCTGGGCGCCCTGGCAGTATCTCAGCCCACATACAACCATGACATTTTCTTCAAACATAAACTTCATCTTGCATCGGCCGTGGCGCAGATTATCAAGGGTTGCCTTATCTGCTGCATACAGCAGGGCGGGTTAGCGAAAACATGCTACTGCTGACGCCTGCCTTCTTTCTTTACCACCTTTTTTATACCTCCCGTTTTTTTGATCATATTCTTCCCCCACAATTCCTTATAACCCCCCCATTTTCTCATATCAATTCCTTTTTTATTTTCCCAGGCAGCCCCCCTAATGGTCAGGGGCCTGGCGGATAATGCAAACGGTAATATAGGGGAACCCCATTCTGGTGGGCAGCCATCACAACCATTTTACCACAATCCAAAAACCTTGCCCCCCCACCCCTGAGTCGGGGGACGGGGGGGATAATTGGGGGGGGTGGCACCCCAAACTCGTCCCATTATTAGGGGACCCCCACCCCGGGCTTATTGGGTCCCTACGGGTTTTTGCACTAGGGTGGGGTCGGGGTACCACTTTTTATTTCCATTCACTGTTTCCGGCACGTGTTCTAAATCCCGGGGACCACGCAAAAAACAAAAGGGGGGGGGTGGTCCCGGGCGGGGGGGGCTGTGTGGGCTCACATACCTCCCCCCATCCACCCCCCCTTTTTGAGGAATTCACTGTGGGGTGGTTACGTGTTTGGGGGGTTTGTGGTGATGAGTTGGGGTGTGGTTATCCCCCCCCACGGGGGCAACAATCTTGGGGGACCCCCCAACCCTGGGACCCCTAACGGGTTAAATTTTGGGGGGAAACGCTGACTCCGGGACACACACGGCCCGGCTTATTCTGTACGGTTATTGGTTGCCACCCTGCCATCGCAACAACCCCAGGAGACCGCCCTCGCTTGCGGGCCATACGCATCCGGAGTGTCCTCTAGCGTGGGTGGTCCGGTTCAGGAGTCAGCATCGCCAAGCGCTGCTCTGTATTTCCGTTCGGTTCCGATTGGGATTCCGGGATTTAAACAGCCGTTTATGTGAAGGGGCCCGTTTTGGTCGACATCACAAGGCCTTCCCCACATCGGGGTTTGGAATTCGCCCCCCCCCGGAAAGTTTTTGTTCAATCGAAAACCCAAACAACGGTCCGGGTTTGTCTTGCGCGTGGCTGGTCGGTTTTTATGGCCCTTCCTCCATTCGACCCCTGGAAATGGGTTCTAATGCATCGTGTCTCAGTGGCACTCTTTGCCCCACCCTTAATTTTCCACACAGACACTGGGGGAATGCAACCCCTACTTTTACGGGCCAATGGGCTTTTAATTATCTTATTTTAGATTTATTTTATTTTAGTTACCTGCCAGGGGGATATGGGGGGAACGGCAAACCCAGTAAAGGGCGCGTCTTTGGGGTGGGGCGGTGCTCTTGCCATGAAGGATGGGGCCTTACCAGGACTGGGGGTGCGTTGGGGGGGTACAATTTATTGGGGGCCCCTTTTTGGCCCGGGTAAACCTAGGGGGGGTACTGGAACATATCACGGATGAGCCAATTTGCCTGTCCCTACCCGTGGGTTGTGTTGGGTGGGGGCCCGAGCACACCCAAGGGCTAGTCGTCTTTAGTTCATACTGCTTTTATATTTAGGGGACACAGGTCGGGTGGGGGGTGCCCCGGGGATGTGACCCCACTTTGGCCCGCCCCACACTTGCTTGCTGGGCCCACGGCGTAAGGGGTAAAACCCCCCCAAAATTTGGGGAACACTTATTCCTGTTTTATCCCCCACCGGTGTTAGTTATAAGGGTTTGGGGACGCCCAGGGTTTCCATGACTTGGGGGACCGTGTTTGGCAGATTTCCCAGCTGTACTGGGGGGTAGTTTAAACCCTGGGGTGTGGCTCGGTACTTTTTTTCTGGGTGGGGGGACATGGGGACACTTGTTGGGTTTCCCCCGGGGCCCTGTTCCGGTTTTTTGTTCCTTCCCACCTATTGGGGGGTGGAAACCTTTAAACCCGGGGGGGGAAGGGGGGGGGGTCAACCAACTAAAATAACGGAATTTTTTACCCCCCCCCCCACTACCCGTGTCGGGATTTGTTCTGTGGGCCCCCAACGGGGGCCAGGAAAAAATTGGGGGGTTATCTCCATATTTTCCTCAGGTCTAGGGGCCCAAGCCTTATTTCCCCAAAGGGTTCTAAAGCCGGGGGGGCCCCCGATTAACGGAACCCGGCCTTAACTGTCTTGTTCCCTTTATATATGGGGACATTATTGGGTTAACTTCCTGTGGGTCGGTCAGTGATTTTCCTTTTTCTGCACCAATCAATTGCTCACACACCCCGCCTAAAGCCCCATGGGGGGGTGAAGGCTCGGTCTGCCCGATGTGTTGGGGCACTTTTTTTCCTGGGGGTCCATCACACGGCAAAACCAATGTCAACTTGTGGATAATTTACCCGTGGGAGTGGGGCTTCCCGTGGAATATACTTGGGTTTGGGAAACGAGGCCTGGGAAGGAACAACCCCCCCTCCGGCTTTGGGGGGGGGTTCTGTCCTGTTTTGGGGGAAACTTCTAAGAGAATTTTGTAGGGGGGGGTCACAAGTGTCGGGTGCCATTTTTTTAATTGGGCCCGTGGGGGTTGATAATTTAATGCGGGAAGGGTTACCCCCTTTTCCGGTTTGTCTGGGACAAAGGGGGGAAAGCCTGGTTTCGGGACCCCTAGGGGGGGGGCAGGGGCTACCCCCTTAAGGGGGGGGGGGGGAATCTAGGAGGGGGATGGGGGGAAGGGGGGTGGCAGTAGGGCTAACGTTATCCCGGCCCAAAGCATTTTCGTTTCCAGTCCCTGTTTTGCCCCCGGCACCCACCTTCTTGTTTCTCAATGGATACATACAGGGCCGGTTCAGTGGTGAGGACCCTCCAGTAAAGGGTGGGGGGGCTAAGGACGGCGGGGGGTGTTGCCCCCATGGAATTTTTACACCCAATTTAAAGTTGAGCTGGGGGTCCTGTTGACCGCTGTAGGGGCGCACTTTAGGGGAGGGGCCACTGGGGTGGGGGGGTAAAATAACCAACACAACTTTTTTTTCATGTTTAGAGGGGTGGTGTGCGTTTGGGATGCCCTGGGTTTCATAAAATTAATCACTTGACCCCAGTCCTTACTGGGGTGGGGGGGCTTCCGGGGGGGGACCCATTTTCCTTTCCTTTTATCTTCCTGGTGTGGGTTTCTTGGACCACGTTCGGCCATGGAACCCGGTTTAGGGTTTTCATTGACCGCCACTGTTCCCCCAGGGTCCGGGGGGGGGTCCCGATCGGGTCCCCCCCCGAATTATCATGCACGGATTACACAATGGCCCTCATTCGGGGGGTTTTTTTTTTTTTACGTGGCCCCGGCTGGGGGTGCCCCCACGTGATTCCCCTCCAATCCCCTTGCACCTTTAATTTTTTGGGGGTGTTGGGGGGGATCGTGGGTTGAGTGGGTTCCTCTGGGGGCCGTCGGGGTGCACTTTAGGTAAACCCCCCCTCCCCCTAGTTCCGGGTACGGATTTATGGTACCGAAGAGAGTGTGCACCCGGCTTAATTGATAGCGAATCGTTATATTGTGGCAATATACAAAAAGAATAGGGAAGTCGCATAACATGGGGATCCTGTGGAGACCGGGGGGGGGGAATTATACAAAAAGGTGGGTGTATTTTAGCCTTAACGCCCCCCAGTATTGTTTTGGAACAACTATCATTTTTTACTTGGGGTGGGGGCCCCCCTCCGGATTCCATTCGGTTTCGGTATTTCCGGCCTCCAATTTTTTTCCTGTGGGGGTGGGAAAGAGGGGGTCAGTCTCGGGGTGATTTAAGGGGGTGGGGGGGTAAAAGTGAGCCAGGCAGGGGGTTTTTGATACCCCCGCCCCCCCCAGGATACGGTGGCTTTGTTTGTTACAAAAAGAGAGACCCTCCCATATGAAAGTTTGACTTTTGGGCAAGGCCAGCGTGGACGTTTCTGGGGGGGACGCTGGTACCCCGGGCCTACCGGGCACCAATATAAACACGCCAGACCCCCGGGGACATCTTATTCGGGACGTTTGGGTGTTTTTTCCCCTTTCGGGGATATTCTTCTTTAATGAGAGTTTGGGGCGGTTTTTTTTCCGATATTTCAGTTCCCCGATTCCCGGATCCAGGTGGATTTCTTGGATTTTCCGGAATTATCTTTGGGGCCGCCTCCGGGGGCATCGAAAAAGGTGTTTTTTTATCACCCACAACGCGGAATGGGTATGTTCGAATCCACCCATCCCTTCCGTTTTGGTCTTATTCCGCCGGTGGAAACTCCTTCAGGGCCCGGGCCCGGGGTCCCTGGGCGGTGGCGTCCCTTGTGGGTTGTTCATGATTAAGGGGGAGGATAGCCTTATTTCCGTGGGGGGTACCTTTATAACAAGTGGGTGGGGTGGGCCATTACGGTTCAGGGGGTGGTCCATAAAATGGTTGTTTTTTTCCTCCCCACCACCGGGTTGTTTTCTTTGGTATTTTTCCAAATTTAGTTGGGGGGTCCGGGGTTGTGTGGGGGGGGGGATTTCTCTTTGCACCTTGTGGGGGAAGGGGTTGTTTATTTTTTTCCCCCGGGGTTTGTGTGCGGGGGGGGGGGGGGAAATAGCCAAACGGATTGTGATAGGCGTCTTTGATAGGGGTGCTGGGCTGGGGATTTTTGGAAGAAGGTTAAGGTTTTTGTTGGTGGGTGTTGGGGGGGACCCTAGAGTTATGCCGGGTGTTAGGTGTGGGGATCTATTATTCCGGGTTCCCTGGCTTTTTTATTTCGTCTCCGGGAGTTGGTTTGAGCGGGGCCCCCCGGGGGGGGTGCCCAATTTCAACCCTCCTGAGGGAATAGCCCCTGGTTCCCATAGGGAAGTTGGTCCCATTATTTTGTTTTTATCACCATTTTCGCCATATCACTTTTTTTCCCATAAAATAGGTTTGCACCAATTTGTGGGGTTTTGCACTGGGCAGGGGTGGGGCGGGTCCCAACCCACAGCATCAACTTGTTGGACCCCTTTGGGCCACACCGGGCGTGGGCCAGTTATCAGAGGGGGGAACACTCCCCCGGGGATGCGTGGTTGGTTCATTTTCACCCCGTTTTATTCTTGGGATCAGCGTGGGCGTCCGCAATGTAAGGGGCGGGTGGGGTATATAGGGGGGGTAATGATGTGTGCCCCTCACGCCATTGCAATGGGCCCCAATAGCTGCCCCCTTTTATTTTAGTGGATGGATCCCCATGGGCCCGGTTGCTATTCCTTGCGTTTAGGTGCCGTACCCAGAGGGGGGTTGCAAGGTGGGGGATGTTTTTTCCGTTCGTTTCTGGAAAGGGCCGGGTGGGGGGATGTGAATTTATACATGGGACCACATGTGAGGGGGGGTCCCCCCGTTAATGCTGCCTATGGTAGTTGAATACTTGGGCCCCACTTTCCCGTCTTGGGTAAGGATTCCTTGAGGGGCCAAACCTACCTTCACTGGTCTTTTGGTGGATTTCATTTCCGGGTTTGGGTTTGGCGAAGATCAAATTTGTGGTATCGGTGGGAGATATGGGACGAGGCGTTTTATCACCCCCCCATCCTCCGATGATGTGGGGTAGTGTGGCGGGGGGGTGAACGGGTAACTTTTAAGGGGGGGGGGGCCGTTTGTTGATCAACTGCCTAGGCACACCCTTAGGGTGGCTAAACAAAAACCAGATAGCTCTGAGGGGGGGTAAAAAATATTAAAGGGGTGTTTTGGCCGGTTTGGGGGGCTTCGGGGGGGAACGGTTGGCCTAACCGGCATTGTGAACTGGGGGTTCCACCTGCCGTTTACTTAGGGAGGTGAGCCTGTATTTTAGTTTGCCAGGTGTAGGGTGGCCCGGGGCAAGGCTCGTGGTGGACAGGAAGGTTTGAATTGGGGGCAGCGGGGTGGGGAAAAATTGCCCCACCACCCCCCCCCCCCCCCCCCCACCCCCCCCCCACCCCTTTTTTATTTTATGTATATTATTAATTTATTACGATATTTTTTTTTTTATTTTTTTATTTTAATGTCACCAATTGTACCCATACCACCTAAACAACATGGGGGGGTGCCCGCGTTTGGGGGGTCCCGTCTTCGAACCCCTTCCGGGTGGAGTCCCCAGCGTTGGGGGGGGACACACCCCCTTATTGTGGCTTTGGGGGTTTTCCACGATGGTGGGATGTTTTGGGGGTGGGTGGTGTGGGCCCCTAGGTGGGGGGGGAAATATAATTAATTTATAGTATTATATAATATTTTATTATTATATTTCCCCACCCAGGGTCTTTGGGGTTAAAAACAGGACGTGTTGTGCCCAGAGACAGGGGGATTACACCCATTTCAGGCACTGAAGGGGAAATTAAAAAAGGCGAGAAATAAAGGGGATAGGATGGGGGGACATCTAATGCGATTTTTTAAAAAAATTATTTTGGGGGGGGAAACGAATTTTTTTTTGGGTGGTTTTTTTTGTACCCCAAAAACCCAAACGGGACCTTTTTGGTATTTTTGTTTTTTAGAGTTTTGTTTGGTTTATTTTTTTTTTATTTTGGGGGGGTTTTTTTTTATCTTTTTGTTTTTAGTGGGGTGGGGGTGGGTGTGTATTTTTTTTTTTTTTTTAGGGGTATCTAAAAAATGGGAATGGGGTGTAAAAAAAAATTTAGGCCCCGGTTGAAAAAAAATAACCCCCAAAGAATTGTGGGCCCGCCCCCAAACTTTGGGAGGTCTGGGGGTATTGGGACCCGGGCGGGTCCCATTTGGACCCCGTCCCAATTTTTCTTTCAATTTCACCCCTTTGCCAATTGGTTTCCCAGCCCCATCTCGTGGGTCCCCACCAATCCATGTGTGGGTGTGGCATTGTTGGTCCGGGGTGGGTGTGGGGGGTACCTGGGTTTTCAGGGGATTGTTGTTGTTCTTGGTGTTTTTTGACCTAAACTGGAGGTGGGGGTGTTAGTCCTGGCCCCGTGTATTTTTTTCCCCTGTTTTTGTATAACCTTTGCCCCTGATTATTTCTTCCACCACCCCTGTTATCCCATGGCCTTTTGTCCACCGGACCCCGTATGGCACCTTTTGTCTATCCACCTGGCTCCCATGGGTGGTGGGTGGGGGGGTAGGGTTTGGGTCCCATCTAACATAAGGCCCCGGGGTGGACCGTCCGGACGTTGGATGTGGGGTGTGTGAAACAGGGCCCTGGGGGGGTATTGTGGTGTTAGGGGTGGCATGGGCCGGCCAGGGTCAAACATTATTAGCCCCCCGTAAAGCCAAATGTCGCATTTGGGAGGGTAATAGTCGGTGGTTGAGGGGTTTAAAATACACAAATTTTTTTTTTAGACGTTTGTGTGGGGGGGTGAAAAACGTACTTTTGGCATCTATTGTGGTGGGCCCCCACCAAGCCAACGGCCGGTTTCTTTTCAACCCTTTTTTTTGGGGGGCGTTAGAGGATGGGGATTAGGGGTGGATTGCCCCCCAACCCCCCCCCCACACCTAGGCAAAGAAAAAAATCCTTTTCCCGAACACATTCGGACAAGGCGGGGGGGGGATTTTATACTAAGATGATAATTGCCCGCTTCAGTTATTCGTTTTTTTTTCCCCCCACCTTAGGCCGTGGGGGGGTGGGAAATTAAGGCCCAAGTTCTCTCAAGGGCCGTTACAAGGGTTGGTATAACTTGGGCCACTGGGGGATCCCGTGGGAAGCAATTGGTTTATACACCCCTAGTGGGGCCCCCCCCATTGGGTGGGGTTTGGGGTGTGGGAGGTTGGGGACCATTGTTTTACCAAAGGGGGGACCCCTGCCGGGGCCCTTATGAGTGGTTTATGCCAGTTTTGGGGGGATGCGATGGCATGTGGAGGGCTGGGGGTGAGCCCCCCCCATATTGGGCCCCACCGGGAAATCCCGTTTTTTGGAGGAAGGGACTTTTTTTCCCATTGTACCCTTCCCCAAAAAACACCCCAGCCCCACCACCAGTGCCGTGAATTTCAGGCCAAAACTCCATTTAGGGGGTAAGTGGAAAAAGGGAAAGGGGGGAACTTGGTGACTCCAGGAAAAACAATGGGTGGTATTTCCCCCCAGCCCCCCAAAATTTTGTGTGGGAGCGGAGGGGGTTTCAGGACCATACCCTGCCAAATCCTGGGAGGTGGGGCCCATGTCCCAGGTTTTTTTTACCATTGTTTCCCCCCCTGGGATGGGTGATAGGCGGATAAACTAAAGGTTAAGGGCCCCCCCGTTTAGTATACTAAACCCTTTTAGGGACCGGGCCTTACCCATTCCGCCCACCCCATAGGCGGGTCCAGGGGGGGATGTGCGTGTTCTGGGATAATCCCCGGGGGGGGGGTGTTATATTGGTTGGGGGTGCCCCTGTGGGTGGGGTCCCCACCACCTGGGCACCCATGGCCGTTTTAGGTTTTCTATTCCTAGTTGTGCGTATTATTTTCCCAAATAAACAATTGGTTCCCCCGGTGTTAGGGTTGGGCGGGTGTTCTGGTTCATATCAGTTGGGGAGGGAAGAATAATGGGTCGTTTTCCCCCAAAACAACAAAAACCACCCGCCCAGGGGTCATGGGCACATTCATAGTGCTTTTCTTTTTGGAAGAGTAAACATCCTTCGGGGGATTGGCCCGGGGAAAAATGTGAAGTTGGGGGAAAAAGGGTGGAATATAAGGGCATTTCCTCTGCCGGGGATAACCCCCATCACCCCGGGGGGTGTGGTGGTTTCAGATAAGCCCCGGGGGAATTGGAAGTATGGTGGGGGTTGTGTTGGCGTTTTGGGTGCCCGGTTTAGCCCTCTTTACTGTTTTGTTTTTGGCACCCTGGGTGGGATAACGGGGGATGTTTGATACTGGTTAAGTACAGTTCCATGTTGGGAGGTTCTAACAAAAACAAAAAAAACTTTTGTGTTCGGTGGTGGGTGGGCCCCCCCAAATCCCCTTTATATTCTTCCCCTAGGGGTATAAAAATAATTCCATGGTTCCATCTTACGCCAACAGGATTTTTCTAAATCTAATCTGAATCTCTAAATGCCGGCTCCGGGGGGGATTGTACCAAAAAAAAACACAACTACGGATTGTGGGCCGCCGGTTGGGGTAGGTGACGGAAGTTCTGGGGGAAGGGGTTCTTGCCGTAGGCAGTGAAGATTTGGTCGAGGCAGCACACGCTGGACGGGGGAAATCCAGGCCTTTTGGTTTCTTCTCCCCGGGGGTGGGGGGGGAGGTGGGAAAAACTCCTCTCTAGGTCGGTTGAAGGGGCCTACCCACCCCCCATTATAATTTTAGGGGTGCAACCGGTGGGTTCCACTAGAAGTGGCGGACTAGGCCTTGGGGGAACCAGAGAGGAGTGTGGTGGGTTATGTTGGGGTTTGGGGGGCTAAGGGGTGGATTTTACGGGCGTTAGGGTTTTTTTTTGTTGTTTGGGCAGGTGACCCCAATCCCCCCCCCGGGGCGGCGTGGGGGGAAACCATTGTCTTTGGTGGGGGAAAATCCGAGTGGGGTTGGGACAATGGACCGATTTCCCTCCCCCCCCCAATGGGAATGCTCGGAAACCCTTAACCCTCCAGTTCCCCCACAACCTTTTTTCGTTGGTGGGGACCCCAGTGCCCGATAGGGATTTACGCGTGTGGTGATATTTAAAGGGGTATAACTTACCCACCATCTTGATTTGAGTTGTGGGGGTTTGTGTGGGGTTGTCCGGGACCCCGAAGCATTGGTATTGGGGGGTGGGGGCGTTTCCTACAAATGGGGGATTTTGGACCATAACATAGTTTTTCCGAATCACTTTGATTTATGGGCTTTTTTCCTCCCTTTGGGGGGGGGGGGGGGTCTTTGTTGGTGGAGGATACAGGGGGCCACCCCCCCCCCCCCCAGACAAAGTTATCCCCCCCCAAATTAACCCCCCCCCTTTGGGTGGTGGGGGCCAAGGTGGTGTCCCCCCTCAGGGGCCCCCCAGGGGGGGGGACTGTGGTTTGGTGGGGGTGGGTGTGTTGGGTTTTGGGGGGGAATTTGGAAGGGTGGGAATGTTTTACCCCGAAATAGGCTCTTATTGGGGGGCCCAAGCCCCCAGGACCCCTTAATCCCCGGGTCTGGCACCCCGGGTGGAAGGGGGGGGGTTTGGGTGGATTCTTTTCGGGTGGCTCCGGTTCCTGGGGGGCACCCCACTCCCCTACCCCCCCTCGGGTACCAATTCGGTATTAGGCCTGTGTCTTGGGATAGCGTGGGGGGGGGGAAAATTTTTGGGCCCAAAACCCAGTTGTGGGGGGGCCCCCTTATATTGGGTGGAATGTTGTGGTTAAAATAACAAGGAACGGGCCCGGTGGGAGGGGGGGTAAGTTTACAGGCTTGGGATGCCAGTCGGGGCCGCCCCTTTTTGTTTTACCCCATTTTTTCTTATTCCCATACCGGGCCCCCTTTTGTTTTTTTGAACCACCCCAAGGGGGGGATTTCCCACGAATCCCCAGGGGGAAATGGTCTGGCTAAAAAGGGCCTTTGGGGGCATTTATTAAATTATTCGCTGGGGTGTATGGCGGGTAATGTGAGTTTGTCGGGCGGTTTTGGGGTTTTCGGTTGTAACCCTTTCCTGGCGGGGGCCCACAAGGGCAGGGGCACCCGCCCCCCCGGGTTCCGTCGATTACCAGCCAAAAATTTTTGCGTAAATGGGGTGCTTTGGGTAGATTTATTTTCTTCCCCCGGGGGAAGGATTCCTAGGTCCAAATTTAGGTGGGGGAGGGTTGGGAGAAGCAGGGGGGGAGAGGGGGGGGACGTGGGGCCCACTACAAAGGGGGGGGGTGGGGGGGGGGGACACCCCCCCCAAAAACCCGGGGCCGGTACCCAATTATAAAGGCTTGGGGTGTCGGTTGGATGGGACCCTTTTGGGGACCCCCACAAACCCCCCCCCCCCCCCCCCCCCCCCCCAACCCCCACAATACCCACCCCTCCAATAAAACCCCCCCCCCCCCCCCACCACCCCCCCCCCCCCCCCCCCCCCCCAACACAAATTAGAGATTTATTGGGGGATTTTCACATAAAATTCCGGGTGTGTGAATGGGTAGGGTGGTGGGGGGAGGGAGGGGTTGGATGGGCATGGGAGGGGGGGAGGTCCTATTTTGTTTTTATACCCCCCCTGGGGGGCTCGAAGTCCTTTAATTAGAGTTTTGGGACCATTTCAATTTTTCCTTATCCCTTTCCCCACCCCCCCCGATTGTGGGGGTCCCCTCCAACTTTTTTGTGTAGTGGGGTGATTTTCAGGTCGGGGGTGGGTTTTTGACCTTAGGGGGGCGTAACCACCCCACAAAAAACCGGCAATGCCTATAAACGGGTCGCCCTACACCAACCCCAGGGGGTTGGGTCCTCTGGATCCCCCCCCCCCCGGGTTGTGGGTTCGGGTACGGCCATGTTGGAACAAAAATGATTCCCCCGGCCCAGTTTAGCGTAACAATATGATCCCCCCGTCGGCCACCTTTGGCCACCCCCGGGGATGGGGGGGGGACTTTCCCAAGCTATTGTTTGTATTTTTTTTTGTTTTTGTTGGGGGGTCAAAATCCATTTGGGTGGGGGGGAATCCCCTCAGCGCTGGGGTTGAATATAGGGGATTGGGGGGGCCAGGCCCAATGTGGAGGTAGTACAGAGTGGGGGCAGTCCTACCTTTAGGGGGGGTGGATCGGGGGAAAAAGCTGGTGGCCTGGGGAGAGGGGGGTGAAATATGGTTTGGATGGGGAATTCGAAGGCACAAAGGATCTGGGTGGAGCCCCATTTCTTCTTTTTTCCTCTTTGGTTCTTGAGCGGTACAATTCATCCATATCAATGGCGGTTCCTCCGAGTGGGCGTGCGTGGCTGTCCACCATGGCAGCAGACCCGACCGGGCACGGCGCGTTTTGGATGGTCCACCCTGCAAAAAACAAGGGGGAATGTTTCTGGTTTTTTTTTTTTTTTTTCTGGGGGGGGAAGTGCCCCTTTTTGAAGGGAAGAGCTCTCCCATGGGGAATGGGTGGGGGGGGGGGGGGGTTTTCTGGGGGTTTTTGTAACATTTTAGGGGGCTTATTTGCGGGATGTCTGAGGACTACCAGTTTTTCAGGTAAGGGGCCGCGTAAGGTGCATAAGAGGATTCCCACCCTTTCCGAAGAATGTGGGTAGCACGCTTTTCGGATCCACCATTTCTGGCTGAACCCCCCTATTGTTATACCATGGGGGGGATAGGCCAAAGGGGAAAGGGGTTCTTCATCGCCTTAAAAAACACATAAATAAAGGGTCGTGGGGCTATTAGATCCGGAAAGATTTCCATTCCATTTGTCCACAAAGGACCAGGTTCCCCTTCGGGCTCCCGTAGACTACTGGAGGGCCCCCCCGGATTCCCACCAAACACCACCAAAGAGGCTTTTGGGGGCCAAGTTGGGGGCACCACCTCGGGGCCAGGTCCTTTCGGCCCGTCCACCAGGAGGAGGCGGAGTGTGTTAGGAACCGGGTGCTATGGGGGTGTGGAGCGGTGTCTCACCAGCTGGTAGGACCGAGTTAGAGAGTCCTGGGGTGTCCGGTGTTTCAGTCAGGGGCCAGTAAGGATATCACTAGAGATCAAAAAGGGTGGGTCTCTAGCGTGCGGGGGGGTGGGGGCAACTCCCAGGGCCTAGTGGGTACCGGATGCTAGGGGGGGCAATTTTATATGTGGACGGACGTAAAGCCTGGCATAGGTTTTTGGTGGTAGAAAACTTGCCCCGGTTCCGGGGTGTAGCCAGGGAGATCGTTAAGTAGGCGACTTTTTGGTGGGGGCCGGCAAAAACTCTCATATTTTGAAAGTGATTCTGGGGTTGTGGTTTTGATGTTGGGACAAGAGGAATGGGTTTTCACCGGGGAAACAGGGGGGTTTGATAGTTTCACTAGTGTAAGGATGATGGGGGCTAACTTGGGGGATCCCGTTGGTAGTGGAATTTCAAGGTTTAAAAAATTTGGGGTGTGAAATGGGGTACACGGGGAAGAGTAGGTATAATATGCGGGCGGAAGGTGGGGCTTGTTGGGCAGTTGGGCATTTAGCGTAACATTGGAAGGTTGGGGTTAGGGGCATGGGGTAAAAGGGCCAAGATACATACGTGGGTGGACTAAGGCTTTTGTGTTGTAAGTCCATGTTCGTCAGGTGGCCGGCGGGAGATACTACCCGGGGTTGCCCGAAGCCCGAAGTAGGAGGGTTGTCCTAGAGGGGGGGGCCCACCCCCCGTGGGGTGAGGGCCCCTTGAGAATACATCAAGGATCTAAAACTACAAGGCCCAGCAGGGACGTATTTATGAGGGTGGCCATCCGGGGGCACCAACCCCGGGGGTTGGGGAGCCCCCCCCCGGGTGGGACCCCCCCAAACAAATGGGTTTTTCCATGGCGCCTTTTAGTAAGGGGGGGTAAACCCGGGTCAATGGGGTCCAGGGGCCCACGGGCCTCCCTTGTTTTTCAAATGGACCACTCAGAGTGAGGCCAAAGGGGCAGTGGGGACCTTTTATTTTACGTGGACCGGAGTACCATCCGCCCAACGCCACAGTGTTGGTCTTTATATGCGGGACATTTTGTTGTGCTTGTTTTTTTGGTTATTAGTAGGAAAGAACGCTTTTGCCAGGGCGGGGATAAGAAAACACACACCACTCTGTAGGATACACATCCGAGCACCGTCCGCGAAGCATTCGCTGAGAACAGGATGATCCCGGAACCCCTCCCCAGAGCTGGCCACCCTCCGGAGGATGGTTTGTTCGGCATAGATCCCAATGCCCTTTGCAAGGGGACCCTGGAGGCTTCGGGGCAAATATCGTTCACCAATGGCAGCAGTACTTGGCTGCCGTCTTGTACTTGTATCGGGGATTGGGGGCATGTAGTTTAAGTGTGTTGGCTGGCTGAAGGGGTTTATCTGCGGGGTGAATGGACTGATTAATAGGGGGTCGCGTGGCCAGTTGGGAAAATTAACGGCCGTGGAAAAGGAAAGATCCTGGGGTCACTCTCGGGATGCCAGCCTTATCTTTGATTGATAAGCCAGCTGTTTGGGTGGGGACCCACCAGGGTAGTGGTTTGTGTCCTGTACCATATGGTTTTAGGGGCCGGCCTTGACCGGAGCATGTTTTGCTTTTTGGAGGGGGGGGCATTATGGGTTTTTTATTTTAAGGCTTCCCCCCCTTTTTTTCTTCTACCCTCTTTCTATTCTTGTATTTTTCATTAGGTCCCTTCATTGGTTGTAAAGAGGACAAGTAGGGGGGGAAGCATACACACTTTGTTCATATGGCCGTTGTTACTGGGGCTGGGGGTGTTGATGAATGGATGATGATATTCCCACCACGGGGTGGGGGGTTTATTTTTCACTACGAAATTAATTGTATTTTATTTTAAGTAAAAATTGTTGATTACCGGGAGACGGAATTGTGATTAATGGGTAACTTTGAGTGGGTGGTGTGAAGGGGGGATGAAACCCCCAATTTACACACCCACGGGTAAATGCAATAGGAATTAGGGCCAGGTTTGTTTTTCCCTTTCTATGTGTTCTTTGGGGGCTATTTTTTTTCAAAAAATTTTCTTGGGTGAGGGGAAGGGGAAACCCCATATAACTTTTCTTATGTAAAAATAAATGATCTTCACCCTTTTACTATTTTTGTTTTTGGTAGGAAGAACCAGGTTGGGAACCTTGCCCCACTTCTTTATGGGGGAATGACCAAATACTTCCCCCCTTTTTATCTGGTGGTTGGGGGGGGCTTTGCCCCCCGGGCCCGCTTTGGGCGGCTCACAATCCCCTAAGGGCAAATAAAAAAAAACCCTTTGGGCCATTGGGTGTTTTTTTGGGGTATACTATTTTCTAATGGGGATTGGGGTAGGGTTCTTTCGGCGGTAACCCACACTTTTTTACAATTTTCGAGTTACCTTTACGGTACAGGTCCGGTTTTTTCTTTTTATTTTTGGGGGTCACCCCCCCTCGGGGGGGACCCCACTCCCAAGTATTTCCCATCCCTGGGGATTTTTTGGGAGGAGTGGGGATTCACACCCTTTTTTCTTCACGGGCAGTGTACCTACCTCTGTCGTTAATTTTAGTTTTTTAAGTGACAGTTTCCCTTATAACTTGGGGGGGATGGGGGGTGGGGGAATTTCCATTCTTGGGGGGTTTCGGGGGGGGTTTGGGGGGGAATTCCGGAACTTGGGTGGGTCCTTGATTTGGAACCCCCGACCCCGTGTGTTGAATTTACATTAAGGAATGTTCTACCCAAATGGGGGGTTGGTGGGGGTTTTGTAAAGTCACCCCTTTAAAACGCCCCCAAACACTTGGGGGGGGTGGGGGGGGGGGTGGGGGTGGCTAATTGTGTTCCTACACTTATCCAGGGGGAATGGGTGGCGGATTATCCCTGGCCGGAGGAGGCTCTCTCACGTATCCAACTCCTTTGGCTTTGGCTCTTGCTAGCCACGCTGGTCTTACTTTCGCCTGTCCGTAGCCTGTACGCTTTCCCTGCTCGCCGCATTTCTCGCTACGCACAGCATTGGTCATAGTGTCTTAGCACTGCTTCTTCTGAATGATACAATTATTTCTTGCGTTTTGCTCGTCGCTTAGAATTACTGCGGTGCCAGTGTTCTGCGTGGTTGCGAATTGTGACGCACTCGTCCTGCTTTCCTTATTCTCACGTGTGCCCAACATCCAGATGACTTTCAACTCTGTGGGTTAACTTTTTCTCCCTCTGTCTTCATCTGGCTATCTTAGATTACTCCTATTCGACGAGTTTAAAGTCAAGTAAACTTGGATCAAGATCGTATTATCTCGCTTCTCGAAGTTTCTTTGAGTGACATGTTTCTGTCACTTCACCTGTTTCTCCTCTCTGAATACCTGTATTGTGAGTGCACATAGAACCTACAATCTGTACAACTCCATCGAAATATGATCATAAACATTAAAAAACTATAACGTGTCAACACCCTGACGGTGTTTCAAGTTCCCACATAGTATCGTAAGAAGAGGTATAACTCACAGTAAACTGGAATTCGTAAATGTGAAATGTCAGTGGGTAATTGTTTTCTGAATCTACTATGAATGAAATTGCACATCAAGTAGTGTTTTGAATTGCCACACTGTGCTTGCTTCCACTATATGCTCTAGCAAACTGTTCCAAACATTGACCGCTCGCCGTTCCAAGCACATAGGATGAGGAACTCGTTTCAAATCGGAAACCGAAAGTTTGATGATTTCCGTATTAGGTTTTATCAACGATTGGAACATTGATCCCTTATTTATACGAGTTTGCTCCTCGGAGTTCGTACAAACTTGTTCCCCTTTTTACTACCTGCCCTTGGCCGAAAGGACAAGTCGCGCCTGCCTTGCAACCCAGAAGTCACGGGTTCAAGCCTGCGTAAGGGACCGGCCGACCCTCGCAATATCCTTGGTCCACACGCGATTGGTG